ATATATATATATATATATATATATTTATATATATTTATATATATGTCTACACACACACATATTTGTCCTTTGTAAAACACTTCTTGAGAGTTATAGCCGAGTGAAGGAGGATGAGAGAGGGTGATTGAGGATATATCTGTAGAGAACCAGGGAGTGGTCCCTTTATTCACTTTCTTGCTCTCTATTTATAGGGGCATATTTGTATAGCTATAGAAAGGAAGGAACGGTTATGAAAACCGTCATTAATACAGTTTAATTGTAATGATTTACTATCAAATCTGTATTACAATTTGAATGCAAATATGATGGAAATCAGTTGGTCTACGAGCTTGAGTTCGATCTAAAGGCCGAGGTGACTGACCGAGTGGTGATCAGGTCTGTTGAAGTAAAAAAGTCAGTCAGTCGACTGGTTGTGGTTGGGCCCTCTTCGTGAGGAGTTAAGAAAATTTGGGACTGTAGGCGTGGTTTTTCGACTGAGTCCATTGTCATAGTGCAATGGTTGACTCCGATCGAGCTATTAGTCATTGGATGATTGGTTGGATCATGTTCTTGTAGTCAGATGCCTTGTTTGTCGAGCAATCGTCATGAGTCGTTTGATTGCTTTGAGATTTGTGCTGATAGTTTTTGTTCATACATAATAATTCCCCGAGTTTGCCTGCTCCTTGACAGCTACGGTAAGAGCAGGGAAACAAGTAAACAATTATAGACATAAAAGCCATGAATTGATTGAAAAATTAACTTCCCCTGGGGTTCCATGCCTAGTGCGCTCTATAAATAGACATGAGTTGAGTCTTGCATCATTTGCTATTAGCTTCTCCTCATGTAACCAAAGAGCATTATGAATGAAAGTTCGAGTCGGATCGTTGTGGATCCTAAAAGGTTGGAAAAGGCCCGCTTTCAGGTTCCTCCTGCAAAGACAAAGATAATTGTGAAAAAAGAAAAACGGTTACAGACCAAGCCTGCTTCGATTGAGGTGGTCGGCTCGTTTGATAGCACCGGGGTACAGTTGCCAGAAAAGTTTGGCCACGAAACCCTGGCATTTGGGCCTGAGGCAAACACAACCGTTGAGGGTCAGCAAGACCCGATTGATGCAGAGATTACGGTGGCTGAAAAGGAGCCAGAGGGAGTGACGACCATCACCCCGCTTTAGCCTCTACCTCAGAATGATGGACGTACTTCGTTGCAAGTGAGAGATGACATTTTTAGGGCCATCTCCAAGATCGATAGATTTATGGGAATGCGAGAAATCACATTTAATAATTTTTGGTATCTTTATGGCCTCATAACATTAACTTGGATGCAGATAAGTTGATTGGGTCGAAGGTCATAAAGAGGGGGGG